TAAGAGCTCGCTCAAGAGTTTGAGCTCTGAGCAACAGCGGTTCGAGTCCAGCCCGAGCTGAGCAGCCGCTGAGCTGCCAACAGGTGGCAGGATGGCTCATCTAAAAAAAAAAAAAAAAAAGGGGACATTCTGACACCTGCTATAACGTGGATGGACCCTGAGGACATTATGCTTAGTGAAATCAACCAGACACAGGACAAATACTGTGTAATTCCACTCACGGGAGGTCCCCAGAGGAGGCAGATTCATGGAGACAGAGTAGGTGGTGGTGCCAGGGGCTGGGGGAGGGGAGGGGAGTGTTTAATGGGGACGAAGTGTCAGTTTGGGAAGGTGAGAAAGTGCTGGAGATGGACAGTGGGGATGGTCACATAACAGAGTGAATGTGCTTAATGCCACTGAGCTGTGAATTTAGACATGATTAAGATGGTACATTTTATATCTATTGACCGTGATTAACATTTTTTTTTTCAAGGAAAAAAGATTGCAGAGCCCAGTGTCCAACATCCTTAGTTTACAGACAGGTGGGGCCTTGTCCTCAAAGCAGCATCTCCAACAGTGACTAGCATCCGGTGCCCTGCCCCCAATAAAGAGGTGCTTATCTTGCAAGATGCTCCAGCCCTCAAGACAAATGAATTTGAAGCCAGGGGCTAAGTAAGAGGACCTTAGAGCAGGGGCTCTGGTGTCACGGTTCCAGCCCACGGGAAGTTGTGGCTCCCATGAACTCAGACCTCAGCCTGAACGGGTGGACTAGGTGACACCCCAGGGGCCCTCATGGCCCCTCTGTTGCCCCCCACCCACCCCTGTAGCCAGCAACAGGAAATAAGCCAGAGGGACCACAGTATGTAGGAATGAAATTTATTCCAATTTAAAACAATTCAATTCAGGAGAAAGATATGAAAAGTCAATTTCCATCAGGGATCTCTGGATTAAGGGGTCAGGGCCCCAACACGCTGATCAAAGCCTGCCATCCCACCCTCTTGGATGACACGGCCTCAGCCACAGGAGGCTGGCATCGAGCTAATCACGCCCACCCCCCAGTGCACTCGACAATACATGCATTTCAAATGACAAAAGATTTAAAAACAGCGTTTTTATATAATATTCATGTTTTAAATAGGTTAAGGTTTAAATCGTCTGAAATCAGGACTGTGTAATATACAAGTATAACCAGACAGTGTCCACCCCGCTGTCAGGCACAGTTCCCACACCACCGCAGGAGTCATTGGCACTAAGATGTCTCTCTCGGGGAGACAGGTACCTGGGGCATCGGCTATACTGCTGGGCAACCTGACACAGTGGGAGGAGCTGGGAGGTCAGCACGCGAGAGAAAGCATTAGGAGGGGAGTTCATTGGAGTGGAAAAAAGTGACCAAGCTCAGAGGGCCAGGGACAGGCCAAGACCTCCCACCCCAGTCGGCACTGGCACAGAATAGGTCTCAGACCCAGTGGGCACAGGGGTGGCACTGCCCTCAGCTCCTGGGGTGGGGTCAGGCCCATGGGCTTCCAGAAGGCCTGGGCCAGGGTGGTTTGGCACTCCAGACAGGTTTGGGCTGTGGGATGTTTGGCACGCTGCCCCATCTTGCGGAAAAGTTAATACTTTGGGTGCCCCCCCCTACATGCTCACGCCACCCTACAGAACCCAATCCGGTTCCCTTTTTGTGATCTGGGCCCTTGAGAGGTGCTAGGACATCAAGATACCAACCCTGCGAGGACCCCAAGTCCCCTCAGGCCCACTGCCAGCAGCACCACCTGCTCCAACTGAGGATATGAATAGGGGGTTATGGTTCAACCCTCTCAGATACATGGCACAAAAAGGACCCTTTTTGGAAAACTGGCTGAGAAGCCAGGGATCCCCAGCCCATTCTTCATTCAGATGGGGCTGATCCCCAGGAATGTAGCTGCACCCAACTTCTGCCCGTCTCCTACCCTCTATCGCTGCAAGGCCCTCCTGGCTTTGTCCTGCAGACACCAGCAGGCTGGGCCTCCATACCAGGTAAGCTGGAGGGAGGCAGAGAAAAGGAAGTGAGAGCCGGAAGTCCAGGACTGGCTGTCTGGGTGGGTTGGATTAATTTTTCAGTTGTTTCTTTTGTATTTGTTAGTGGCCCCAAAAGGAGCAGCCCACAGACCGCTACCGTGGGGCCCATGTGTAGTGGGTGGGGCCAAGGCATCGCTGGCAGTCCATTCCCCCTACGTTGTGCAAAAAACCCAAAACGAAACACTAGTGTTCAGTCTACATCAAATGGAAAGCCACCTCCCTCCCCCCAAAAGCCCAGCCCTGCTTGTTCCTGCCCTCAGAGGCCGTGAGAGGGGACCCAGTCCATGGCTCTGGCTCAGTGCATGGCCGTGGCTGTGGCCTGGAGGCCGACCGGAGCCAAGGTGCCAGCTGCTGGCTCCCCCACGACCCTGGATGGCTCCAGGCAAAAGGCACCTGAGGCCTGCTCACTTCCCGGCGGCCTGGTGCAGAGGGTCAGCAGTATGAGCAGTGGTGGCCGCCACACACAGGAACCACTGCAGGGTGCTCCATCAACTTCTCTGCCTCCAGGGGAAACACCTGAGAATATTCTGAAAAAGTCCCCAGCCCACCATCACTGTTTCCAAATTGGTTATGAAACAGAACAGAAGCAAAAGCGACTCCCATCCAAGCGGGCCCTCTCCTGGCTGCCAGGTTATGACACAGGCTCCCCACAGGTGCTGTCTGGTGTCGGCAGTGGGCACGCCACCCGCAGGTGCAGGGAGATCCCGGCAAGCAGACGGCCCTGGAGACACAGCCCAGAGAACGCCTGAAGCTGCCAGGGCTCTCACAAAGGGTGGTGGGGTCTGCAGCCACCCAAAGCTGTGAGGCACAGCTCGGGACATCTCCTCCACTGCAGGGGAGACAACATACTTTTTTATTTTCCTCAAAAAAAAAAAAAAAAAAGGTTAGGCACTTCCCAGGGTGGGCAACAGAGGTACCACCCACCCCCCACTTCTTGGAGTCCAGTGAGCAAAAACATGGCAAAGTCGTGACGATGTCAATAACTTAAAAAAAGGAAGAAACAAAAGTCACAGTCTCCGTATCTCCACGCCTTCCGTGATTGAGAACACAAGGGAGGACAGAGGATTGGCCAGTCCAAGGGACCAGGGATGGCTGGTGGCTGTCCCACGGTGGCCCGAAGGTGCAGCCCGGGACTGAGGGAGGCCTGGAGGCACCGGGGCAGGGCACTCGCGTGTCTCATCTCCACTTGTCTTATTTTTCTTTTTTTTTTTTTTCTTTTTTTTTTAGAAAAAGGCGAGCCACAGTTGAGGCCAGAAAAAGGCAGCCTGTGCCACTGACAAAAGGTGAGAAGGTGCACGAAGTGTATAGAAAGAAAGATGTACATCCCCTGATAGCTGTGAAATAAAAAACATTTGTTAAAAATAGGAAAAAACTCAGCTCCTCCGCGGCAGAGCCGCTGTCACATCATCACACAGGAGGGTCTGTCCTGGAGCTCTCCGGGGTCACACCAGGTTATACTCCTTCAGGTTGAGCTGCAGGATGGTGTCCTTGACAGCAGCGAAGACAAAGCGGATATTCTCTGTGTCGGTGGCGCAGGTGAAGTGCGAGTAGATGATCTTGTCACTGTCGGGGTTCAGGTCCACGAACATCTTCAGGATGAACTCCCGGGCGGCCTGTGCGTCCCGCTGTGGCCCTGGGGGAGACGGGCAAGTGAGCCCAGACGGGATGGGGTGCCAACGGGAGGGGCAGCTCCCCCACTGCTCCAGTGATGCCCTCGGCTGATGCCTTATATCCCAACCACGCTGTGGCCTCTCTGTGTGCCTGGTAATCTGTGAGGGCCCCTTGTCGGTCTCCACCCATTTGGCTCTGGGCCCACCCAGCCCGGACCATCATCGCTGCATACAAGGGTGAGGACATCCAAACTGGGGCCAACATTCCTTCCCAGCCTCACTTCACCCCACTTCATTCACACTGCACCCAAAACACACACCCAATCCAAACCTAGGCATGCATCCACACACGTGCACACGTGCCCACACCTGCATGCACACACACCCGCGACATGCTCCCGCACACAGGCACACCCCCACACACACAGCTGCCACCTCAGCCACTCTCCCACTCGGCCTGCTGGCTGTCCATCTGTCTGTACACATCCCTGCCCATGGTCTGCACTCGCCCTCAGGTCTTGGTCCTCATCACCTCGCTGTTCCCTCCCAGCAACCCACCTGTTCTCCTCGCCGCCAGGAGTCTCTGTCTGCCCAGCCTGAGAGGCCTGAGGGCTGGGCGCAGAGCCCAGTACCCTAACCCCCAGGCCTCACTCTTGTCTTTAGAGCAGGAGCCCCCAGCCCCCACGGCCAGTCGGGCCAAGCCTGTCACCCCACACTCAAGGGCTGGGCATAGTGTTCCACAGGCAGCACCCCCTGTCCCATCGGGGCTCCCAGCCGTGACACTCCTCCCCATCATGATCCCTGCTCCTCGAACAAGCATGGACAGCGCAGGCACCCAGTGTGGGTGCCCACCACCTGCTGTGGAAGGTGTGGCTGGGTGCCCTTAGAGACCTGTGGGACATCCCCGTGACGACTGGGGGGACGGCTACAGCTCATGCACAGTAGAGTGCGGTGGTCACCCGTGAGCTGTCTGCCTTCCATTAGGAGCTTGGACTGATCCAGGCAGGGGTTAGGACGGTGGTCCGAGTCACCCTTTATTCCCAGCACCACGCTCCTCCTTGTGGCCGGGCCACTGAACCCACATGGGCTCCTCACTCAGCATGGGCAATCGGGGACAGGCCACCAAGTGGGGGACTGGAGCCGAGCATCCCATCACATGCCTCCTGCTGCCGTGCACCAACCATAGGGCACCCCTCAGTCCCCAGGAACACGAGGCCTTCCCACCCATCCATCGCCTGGGAGGGGCCAGGAGGCAGCCGTGATGCAGCACCAGCTGGGGAAGCTCTGGCCTAACTGCTCATGGGCCCCTGGAACTACCCTCCTGGCTCTAAGAGAAGGACACCAAGGCCCAGGGAGGGCAGGGACGTGCTGGGGTCCTCCGGTAGGGCTGGTGAGGCTGGGGGCTGGGAACGTTGTCACAGTTCTGCGGGCACACGGGGCACGGGGCACGGGGCACCAGGCCGGGCTCACCATCAAACTCGGGGAAGTAGTCCACCAGGTGCGAGTACAAGATCTTATCCTCCAACAGGTCCTTCTTGTTGAGAAAGAGGATGACAGACGAATTCTGGAACCAGGGGTAGGTGATGATGGTCCGGAACAGGGCTTTGCTCTCCTCCATGCGGTTCTGTGGAGGAGAGGCGCCAGGATCGCCAAGGTCAGGTGTTAGGAGGGGGACTGGGGATGGGGGCGCCTGTGGGCTGGGGCCTCACCTCATTGTCCGACTCCACCAGGACTTGGTCGTATTCACTCAGGGCCACAAGGAACATGATGGATGTCACATTCTCAAAGCAGTGGATCCACTTCCTCCTCTCGGACCTCTGTCCTCCCACGTCCACCATCCTGCAGGGACCACAACCCCACAGGGGCTCAGTGCTGGGCTCCACAGATGGCACTGTTTCCACAGCAGGCCTTCCCCACCAGTATGGCCATGTCTGCCAGAGCCACAGGGGCCCCAACACCTGCCAAAGCCATGGGACCCCAATACTGGCCAGAGCCATGAGGGCCTCAATACCTGCCAGAGCCGCAGGGACCCCAATACCTGCTGGAGCCATGAGAACCCCTAATACGTGGTTAGAGCCATTAGGAGCTCCCCCATCTGTGGGAGCCAGCAGAGCTCCCCGTATCTGTGCGAGCTAGTAGAACACTACACAGGCCACAGGTCTGGCCTCTGAGCAAGACCATTCCTTGCCCTCCAATGGAAGCACTCAGCCTAAAGCACAGTGACAGGCACTCGTGGGGTGAGGTGAGGACCCAGTGGGACCTGTGACGGGCCCACCCTCAGACCCCACATCCCACATCTGGAAGCACCCTCCCCTCATTGGTCAACGTGCAGCATTGTCTGTAAAACACTGGCCCATCTTGGCCTCCCCCACAGGGAGACCCAGATAAACTGGGGAGCACTCAGGCAACAAACGTGTCAGCCACTGCAAGGGGACGAGGGGATGGCTGCAGAGAGCACGTCCTGTGCCTGGGTAAACATAGCGGGCTGCAAAGTTTGCTATCCAGAGTAGGAAGCAGGTAGGAGACAACAGGTCCAGAAACCAGAGGGGAGGGGAGAAGCTGGGGCAGGGCCTAAGCAACAGGGTCAGTTAAGGGGGCTTCCTTCTTTCTGCTTGCGAATTCCCTAACTTAAAAAATGAGGAAGACACTCTATTTTTAAGAAGGAAGATAAAGGTGGTAAGAGAGCAATCTCAGGGCCCCCAACCTGTCCTGGAGAAGGCAGGGGTCCTTGCAGCTGCCCTCTCCCGGCCCCCTCCAATGCTGCATGGAAGGCAGGCCTCAGACAGAAACAGCCCCAGGGCAACAGGGCGGGGCCAAGACACAGGCTGTCTGCCTGGCGGAAGGAGGTTTCCCAGAAGAAGACTCCAGCAAGCACAGGTGGACTGCGGCCAGGGTGACTGTGAAGGGACGGGAGGGTGGTGACAGGCCAAGGGCCCTGTGCTCGGATGCCAGGCCATGCTGGCAGCTGCAGCCAGTCTGGGGAATGCCATCAGGGCCAACGGCATTTGGGGCCATAGCCTTTCTGGAACATGAGCCTCCCAGGTACAGCTGGGCTGGAACCCAGGCCCCCGGGGCCCAGGTCTCCACACGAGGCCCCCACTTTGGGACCAGGATCATCAGTCAACGACACCCGAGCTCTTACTGAGGCTGGGCCATGAGCACGGTGCCAGAGCCTCTGGCTTGCCTTCTGTGAGCACACAACCAGAAAGGGGGCAACTGGACAAGGGCAAAACCAGACAAGAGGGGCACAGCTGGACGAGGGGGCAGCAAGAGAAGAGGCACAGCAGGACGAGGGGTCTCTACAACCTCTCCACTGCCCTACAGTGCCCCTGCTCTGGCAGGATGTCCAGACCATCCACCACTCCCGCACAAGCCAGCATCCTCTCTCACTCGCGGCCCCATCACAGAGGCCCCACCAGAAGGCCATCTCCCCTAGGCTGCCTCTGGCCAGCCCCCAATAACCACTGGGACATGGCTCTCTCTGAAACTTGGTGACAGTTACTTATAAATCTTATCCCCCGTCCCGGATCAGAAGCTCCCTGAGGGCAAAGACCAGGATCCAGTGAATCTTTTGCTGCCTCCAGGTCTGGGGACAAATGGCCCTCACAGTGGCCTGCAGAGCCCTCAGCCTCTCCAGAAGGCCACCACCACCCTCAGGAAACCAGGACACAGGTACCTGAAGATGATGTTCTCTAGGTCAAAAGGGTATTCGATGATGCCAGTGGTGGGCACGCGGACCCGCAGCACGTCCTGCTGGGTGGGCAGGTAGCCCACGGTGGCGATGCGGTCCACATCAGTCAGGTAGCTACAACACAGCAGGGATGGGCTGCTCAGGCCAAGCTTTGTGGGGGGGACAGCCCAGCCACCATCAGTCCCCCAAGCAGCCAGGAGGGACCCACAGGGGCCTCAGCAGCAGAGGCTGAAACAGCCAGGAATACTCGGGATAAGATGGGACAAAGCCAACCCATCCCTGACCTGGTCAGGAAGAAGCAGGCCATTTGTTGGGTATCATGGGACAGAAATGACAGTGACCAGGGAAAGCCTCGGGAGGGACTCTCTAATACAGCTGGCCCAGGAAGGCTGCCCAAGAAGGAAGACGGGGACCAGTGCCAGGGTTTTCAAGAGAGACTGCTGGACTGGAGAAGTGACTTTTCAGAAATAAAGTTACTACTTTAGGATCACTTTAGATCCACAGAAAAATTGCAGAGACACAACAGAAACTTCCAGCACAAACCCAGCTTCCCTGCTGTGAATGTGCTTATTAGTCGAGCGCATCTGTCACAACTAACCAGGCAACATTCAGTGTCATAACTGAGCCCACCCTTTTTTCCAGGTTGCCTCAGTTTTCTCTAACATCCTTTCTCTGTTCCCAGACCCCATCCAGACCCACGTGGCCTGCAGCCTGGTCTCCAGTGGGGCGGGTGGGCGGCGCCTCACTTACTATTTGGCAGAGTCGGAGAGCTGGTACTCCCGCCTCCGGTCGTAGCACTCCTGGATGCCGGGATCGTTCCACAGGGTCTTGATGGCATTGACGTACCGGTGCTCGAATATCGTCACCTTCTCCACATCCACTTCCCGGATCAGGAGCGCGTTGGCCTGCAAGGGTAAGAGGGGGAGAGGCCATGGGCTCGCCAGGGGCCTGGACACATGGTGCGCACCCCTCATCCCAGCACCTAGCCAACTCGATTCAGAACCATCAACTCCAGTTTCACGTGAACACGCGAGAGAAAGAAGCGAGGGTGACTGGCCACGACTGTCCCTCAGTGCGAGGTCCCAAAGCAAACCCAAGATCGGGGCACGTCCTTGGTGCAGGGCCTACCCAGCCGCCACGGCTCCCTGTGTTGGAGAAGGCTTTTGAAGGTAGGAAAAGCATGTGCCAACAAAGCTGTATTTACAGAAACAGGCTGCAGTATGGCCCTCTGCCCTAGAGGCTAATGGATATCTATGGTCCAAGTGTGAACTGAACGGGCCCTCAGCTGGAAGGGATCCTACAAACTGAGACTCGGCAGGCCGGAGACTCAAGCTGGCCCCACATGTGGCCCCACAGCCAGGACTCAGGGCCAGTGGGGTCCCTGATCATCTGTGAATTGGGGGTAAAGGGAGGAATGCGCCCATCAGCAACATACCAGAAATCTGGTTGACTGACCTTCTTAAGCTTTAAAGTAAATGGATTGATTTAAGCCATATTTAGACAGATATAGACTCCATGCCATCTGTGTGATAAGCCCCCCCAAAACAACTACAAAAGCAGACAAGAGAGGCCACCAGCGAGAGCCACTGGTTTGCGGCTGGTGGGGCAGCTGCTGGGGAGAGCGGGCTATCACACGTGACTCTGAATCTCTGCTCCTGGGTGCACACCCAGGAGAAATGAGAAAAGGTGTGCAAATAAAAACTTGGTCACATGGGCCAGCCGAGTGGCTCAGTTGGTTAAGAGCTCGCTCAAGAGTTTGAGCTCTGAGCAACAGCGGTTCGAGTCCTAGCCCGAGCTGAGCTGCCAACAGGCGGCAGAATGGCTCAGCTTAAAAAAAAACAAAAAAAACTTGGTCACAAATGTCACAGCACCAAGATTCACAATGGCCAAAAAGTTGGGAACAATCAAATGCCCATTGACGGGTGAATGGATAAATAAAACACACTAGAATATTATGCAGCCATGAGGAGGGAGGCGCTGACACTCGCCACAACGTGGATGGACCTTGAACACAAGGTGCTCAGTGAGAGAAGCCAGACACACAAGGCCACACAGTGTGTGATTCCATTTACATGAAATGTCCAGAACAGGCACATCCACAGACAGGAAGTGGGTTCATGGTTGTCAGGGGCTGTGGAAGGGGGAGGAAAAGGGATTATTACGACTGCTATGGGGACAGAGCTTCCTTTTGGGGTGATGAGAATGTTCTGGAATTAGAGGTGATGGGTGCATGACTCTGAAAATGTTAAAAATGACTGAGCTGCACACTCAGTGGGTAACTTGTATGGTATGTGAATTCCACCTCAACAAAGCTGTTAATAAAGAAAATGAAGGGGAAGTGCCACCCCTGTGGGGGTCACCCAGAGAGTCAGATAGCGTGTGTGAAGCCCTGATAGGACGCTGGACCCTCCAAGGGGCTAGGAATCAGGAGCTCGCACTGCCTACCCCCAGGGCAGCTCACCTGCCAGTCAGCTTCCTGTCCACAGAATGGGGGCACTAACAGCTACCTGATAGGGAAGTCTGGGGCTCAACCAGGACGTGCAGGCACAGAAAGCCAAACACAGAGATGGTCAGAGGCCAAGGCCCCGACCCCGGCAGCCTCCGCCCCGGCCTCATCCCCTCACCTTGTTCTGCTCGTACTTGTACAGGATCTTCAGGGTCTCCATGGCCCGGATCATGGCCTGCATGGCGGTGAAGATGTTCTGGTAGACCAGCTTTGTGAAGCCCCGCTTGTCCTCCTCCGAGTAGCCGGCCCCGTGGATGATGCGCATCTGCTTGATGAACGTGCTCTTCCCGCTCTCGCCCGTGCCTGCAGCGTGAAACAGCCCACTGAGATCACAGAGACTGGAACCCCACCTGGCACGCCAGGAGCTGAGGCGCTTGGACGCACGCTCCTGGCCACGAGTGGCTGGTCGGCCCTTGAAGGGGGCATGGGATACGCTCAGCCAGCAGGCGGCCACTCTGATGGGCATCCCCAAGTTTTACCTCCATCAGCCTCCCACGCACACCCGTCCTACACAAGAGGAAACTGAGGCTCAGAGAAAGGAAGGATGGTATCTGCAGGGCATTCAGCACTGAGGCACATGACCAGTGGGTCTGTTCCCCCAGGCACCCTGCTGGATCACAGTGGCAGGAGGTGAGTAGCATACTCAGATGAGGGCAGGAAGGCCCGCAGAAGTTACATGTCACCACCAGATGCCACCACCTCCTTACCTAGTGGGCCCCACTAGCTACCTTGCCCTAACCCACCATGGACCCCAGTCTGATCTGAAAATGTCTCTGCTCACCTCCCACCTCTCCTCTTCCACGAATCTCTCCAGAGTAAAGTCTCCTTTGGGACAGGGGTTTGATATCTGCATCCAAGGCCATGACAGTGAAAGCCAAATTGAGTCACAGGGCACTGATCATCACCCCTAGGAGCTCCTTTCTCATTAGCCCTGAACTTGTAACTCAACCCAACATTACGCCACCCAGTGACCACGGTGCTGTGTTCCATGTCCACCCAGAGGCCTGGGTGTCACCCCTCTGCCCACCACCCGCGTCCGCTCTCTTATCTCTGTCCCACAGCGCTGACGGGCACATGTCACTGAACCCGTGTCTCATTTCTTCCTCCATAAGCGTGAGGGGATGTAGCCACCTTACCAGGCTCCAGCACCAACACAGCCCCGGGTTCCTCTCCTGCTTCAGCCTATCACCACCCTGGTCACCCCACTTTCGTGTACTCCCACACACGGGGAAAGCAACTGCAGTTGTGTTTTTGTTTTTGTTTTTTTAAAGATTTTTATTGGGGAATTGGGGGATGGGAACAGTGCTGGGGAATTGGGGAAAGGGGAACAGACAAGTCGCTGTCTTTTTGTTCTTCAGTCTAGTTGTGGAGGACGTTGCTTCACTGGCCCAAGTTGGCACCATCATTGCGCTCTTCCCGGGCGAGGCAGATCAGTCGCGCAGTTGTTTTAATGTGTCCATAAATCTCTGTCACACCTCCCACCCAGATGTGACACCTAGTTTTCCTCCCTGAGTGCACAGGCTAGACTCAATGACACGCCTTCTAACAGAATATGAATGATGGTGTGTCCCTTCTGAGACCAGGTCATAAAAAACACGGGAGCTCTTCCTTGCTGTCTGAGAGCACTGAGGTGTGGGAGGGAGGGAGAGAGCCAGCTGCCATGTTGTGAGGACACTCAGGCAGCGCTGTGGAGGGACCCTGGAGGAGCTCAGGCCTTCCGCCAGCAGCCACAAGAGGGAGCCAAGCTGGAAGGGGCCCCCTCCAGCCTCAGTCCAGCCTTCAGATGAGGCAGCCCTGTCTGCAGCTTGACCACAGTCTCATGAGGGACCTGACCCCGAACCACTCAGAATCCTGACCCTCAGAATCTATGGAGATGAGTGTTTGTTGCTTTCAGCTACTAAGTCTTGGGGTGATTTTATTATACAGCAAGAGAAATCTTCTAAATTCTAAGAATGTACTGCCTCAGACCCTTACTCCATAACCCAACACATGTCCCCTCTAACTGACAACCCCTGTGCTTCCTTTTAGGGGCTCAGAATATCCCAAACTCACCTGAATCTACCCCTCTAGATTCATCTCAGCACTCTGTCTGTGAGTTGCCCTGCATCTGTCTGCCCACCTCCACGTTAGCGCAAGCTGTGTCTCTGTCCATGGTGCTGTCCATTCATAGCCACCTGTGACCCAACCTGCACCCCAGAAAGCCCTGAGCCCCAGGCACACAGCTTCCCTCCCTGGACAATGGGAACTGTTACCGCCACTTGTGTGGGGAGTCTCTGCAAGTGTCTGTTGCTGGCCTCCATGACCAGGAGCTCCTCGAGGAGACCCCATGGTGACAACACTGTCCTGGAGCCAAAAGGCCCTTAACCAGAGTTGACCACTCTGACCACAGGCACCTGAACTCACTCAGGGAGACCCGAGCCACAAATGCGACACATCACAAAGCAGGAGCCTTGGCTGCAGCTGCCCCTGTCCAGTCCTTTTATCAACCACCTCAGATCCTTTCTGGAATAAATATGACTTTGGTTCTGTCAAGTGGCAATTACCCCACACCATCTAGCACTCTTCCTACCTCAGATAATCACCTCTGCCCCAAAATATACAAGAGGCCAAAAGTCCACCTGCCCCAAATGCACCTGAGTTCCAGGGGGCAGGGGGGTGGAGGGTTGTGCACATGACCCCACGTCTCCTCACAGGGATCAATGCTGCCCCTCCCTCACCGCACACTGGGGGAGGGGTAGGTGGTGTGCTGGGAATGTGACTTATAGTGCATTTTCCTCTTGACCTCACTGGAAACAGTCAAACAAGTACAGGGATTAAGGCCAAAACCCAGACACAGCCCTGCAGGGGAGCTCAAAACTGAGCTGGGCAGGTCCCACACTCAGGCCACAGGCTTCCCACACGAGGATGCTTGGAGGGAAAGTGAGGAGTCTGAAAACCAGACCACCACCCAGGCAAGGAGGAACTGGCCTCACATTGGCTTTTCAATAATGGAGGCAAAAATGACAATGCGAGCCCCCATGGAGCTCTCCACAGGCAGTGCAGGCACACTGGGGGTCACACACATGTAAACACATGCACACCACACACATACATATACACACACGCACAGTGTCAATCAGTATGTGACAGAGCTTGGGTCCCAAGAGAAAACAGAGGTGTGAGGGGCATGTCCTGAATGCTTCTTCACGATTGGCGAGAAGCCAGCTGGGAGAAAATGAGGGACAGCCCCAGAGACTACATGTCTGGGACCTTCCCTATACTCGAGAAACAAGCAGGGGACACTCAGGGAACCTGAGGCACGGGATCGGCCCCTGGAGGTGAGGCATATGGCCATGGTCACGCAGGTCCCTCCAAACCCCGCATCGTCCAGTCTGCAAGTCTCTCCACGCTGCCAAGACAGTGGCCATGATCGACCTCCAGAAGAGTCAAAAGGCACAGGTGTGTGAGGTGGTAGATATGTCAACTAACCTAACTGCGGCCATCATTTTGCAAATATATACACACATCAAATCATCATGCTATATACCTTAAACTTACATGTTACATGTCAATCAAATCTCAATAAAGCAGGGGGAGAGCAAAAGGGACAACCCAGGGACAGTGTGGCCTGGGACATGGGATGGTCAGTGATCCTGGCCAGGGTGCCATCACTTTATGAGGAAGGACAGAGAAAGAAAGGTGTGGAGGTGGTGGCTGCAGAGAGAGCAGGCCCACTGAGGAGGGCACTGTGTGTGCCGTGTTACCTGTGTTCTGGGCCAACAGTGACTGAGGGAGGAGACGCCAATGCCAGCGCCAGCTCCAGGCGTGAGCCTCCAAGCCAGGAGCAGTGGCATGGGAAGCAGAAGCCCTCCGCCCTTGAACAGGCCAGGCCCAGTTGGCCTGAGAGGTGCTCAGCCACTGCTGCACCCAGGAGGGAGGGAGGGACAGGCTCTGGGTGGTGTGGAGCCAGCCAAAGCCACCCAGGTTTGTTTCAGATGCTTTGGCTGAGACCTTCATTTTGAGCTGGCTGTTTCGCAGCCAACTCAGCCACTGCCTCATCTTGTTAGCACATGGCACCTGCAACAGAATCTCTGGCTCCGGGATCCCCTCCCCCTGCCTGACCCAGTGTCCACCTGCCCAGAGAAGTCTCCTGACTGAACCTCATAGCCGCTTGCCCAGACCCACTGCAGTGGCTGTCATCCCAGGTCCTGATCAACCCTGCCCTCCTGGCTTCCCCATGGACCTCAGCCTCCCGCCTCTAACTCACCCTGCCCAGTGCTCAGTCACACTCCCCCTAGGAGATCTGCTCATGCATGTCCTTCTGGCTTGAAAACCTTCAATGGCTACCCCCTTAAAGAAAAGCAAGCCTCTTCCTTGAGCAAAAACCTGTGAGACACCGGTGATCAGGCCTCCTTCTGTCCATGTGGACTGGTCTACAGCACCCACTGGGCCCCCAGTCATGCAGGAGGCGGGTGCCCTGGATCCATGAGCACCTGCCAGGGTGAGGACACGTCCACTCAGACACCTGCACATGGCATACCAGAAAGCTTTATTTGTAATGGCCAAAAAGTGGCATCGAGCCAAATGTCCTTCACCAGGTGGATGGTCACAAACTGTGGCCCATCTGTACCACGGACCCTACTCAGTGAGGAAAAGGAAGCCCCGTGAGCACACACAATGGCCAATGGACTCCACAGAATTATGTCAAAGGGGAAAAAATTCAACCCCAGGAGGCTACACACTTTCTGGCTCCGTTTAGGGAACATTTCTGAGACAACACAGATATAGAGATGGAGGACAGATGGGTAGTTGCTGGGGGGTGAGGGGAGGTTGTGGGGGTAGAAAAGGGAGACACAAGGGTTCCTGCGGTGCTGGGAACACTCAGGACCCTGATGGCAGTGGTGGATTCAGGCACCTGCACCGCCTCCCCGTGAGGAAGCCAAGGGGCTCCATGTCCTGGCTGCAGTCAGACCTCAAGCTCATGTCGGTGGGTCCCCTTGCCCGCCCCCCCCCTTGGTTCTTTGGTAACACCATGAGCCCAGCATTTTGAGAGGACATCCATGGGCTCCTGCAGCTACATGCCAGTGCTTGTACCACTGTTAAATACAAACCACCCCACAGGCCCTTCCCCTCCAACCCTGCCAGGCTCCCTGCTAAAACCCGCATTCACATTTTCCATTTAGTGCCCAGCACCTCCGACACCCCAGATGTTCCTATTTACTCAGTGTCTGTGAAGTCTCCTGGTCCCCATCTTCCACATGCTGGGGGCCAGCTACCCCAGGGTGGGGCTCTGCCTGCGGCCTTCTGTGCCCAGCCCCTAGCAC